GTTTATATACACATTAACAGAAATGTACATATAGTCACGGGGAAGAGACCCTGTGAGTGAAAGTTATACCCTAAAAGGATGAATATATACTGTATTTCCTCCACCTCCAGATCATGGAAAAGAAAGGTATCAACCCAGAAATAGGGGAATTGCCATCAAAGATTTATTTGAGCTCAAGAGGTCACTTTCTGTAGCACATGCTACTTCAGTTAGTAAAAATGTGCAGAATCGAGCTCCATACATCTCCCCAACACACGCAGCGTGGCACAGACACCCAAGCGCTCTCTGGGAGCGGTGCTGCCACGCTGCATGGTGCTACAAAAAATAACACCTCCACAGAGCCCCCAAGTTTATATATTTGCATGGTGCTGCACTGTGCTCTGCAGATACATCAGCACCAGGAGACAATGAAACAGCCCATGGCAACGAAAACAATGCTTGACCATACTCGGAGAATTTGACGTCAAAATATTTGGGGGATATCTATGACTTCTCTATACATTAGAGCAAGTCTCAGCAGTTATTTGCATATATTTAATAAAAGTACCACTACCGTTTACTGGCAATTTTAGAAATTACTCCTCAGAAGCATTGCAAGCTGTCTTGTTTGTCAATCCTTTATAAACATTAAAACATGCTAACGTCCTGAATTAACACAGCAAGTAGCAACTCTACTAATGTGAGACTGAGATATGGTGGAGATGAGAGACACCACGTTCCTATTTAAACATGTCAAGCTGGCTGAATAACTTTCAGCAATACTTGCATTTATCACTGAGTAACTAATGCACATCCACACACCTGATCTCTAGAATCGGCGCTGTGAGAGGTTGCAACAAGTATCACTGAAGACGTTGATGTGAGAAAACACTAGTTACTCCTTTGCAATAACACCTCTGTTTTGTATACTTCTGCTCAGAGTATTTGCAGTATTTGTTTTTAAAAATATTATCTTCATTTTTCTTCCCGAGCGATACTTACAGCAGACCACACACCAAGAAACGCAATCAATTACAGATAGCATGAAAAGTTAGAAAAAAAAAAAGGGGGGGGGGAGAAGAGATTGTATAAACTGGAATAAATCACACAGAAGAGACAGGTCCATTACGGCAGGAAAGACTGAGACGCTGGCAGCTCATCTACCGTTCTCGCCCCGCTTTGTAAATCCAAGTCCATACACAGAAGAAGGTTTCTCTGAAGAACATTGTTTCTCCACACCTCCAAGGCCACGTTTCCCTCCCCGTCATCCCCCCTCATCACCCACAGCACGAGGGGTCACAAAACTTTTCGCCCCC